TCAAATAACAAAATTAATATAATTTTGTTAATTTTTATTATAAATAGTTATTAATTATTATTAATTAAGTATTTAACTTTAATAAAATCCATTACAAATTGTTTTTAGTAGGTTAATAGATTTTTTATAGCTTAGTACAGAAAAAGAAAACCTTAATCGGTCAATAATTGGTGCATTTACCCTATATAAAAAAATTAAAATTTTTAATTAATTAAAAATTTTCAATGTAACGTTCCCGATGACTTCTCTAGGGTAACCTGAGATGCAACGTTATCAATTTTATTGATTATTATAATTCTTTTGTACTCTGGATGTGAATCCAGAGCAGTCAGCCTGAGCAAGTCAGCCGATGAACATCTTCGGCCCCGGACTTATGTCCAGAGATGGACTGACTCTATCTATTTTATTAAAGTTTTTCTTATAATATATTTCATTAATCGGAAGTGATATTCTTGATTTATTTAAACCCTACAAAATCTTTAAAATTTAAGAGAGAGCTTAGCAACAGGCCCACCTGGGGTCTATTGACACCCTAATGAGACCAGCCTGGATTTTATATTTCCATAACAGTTTAAAAATTTCAATAAATTAAATTTTTCAGAACGTTACATCTATTCTAATTTTCTAAAAATTAATTATTAAATTTTAAACAAATCGATTTCTTTTTCATATTTCGATAGGTTATATCTTTAAAAATAACATACTAAAATTTTTAATCGATATCTCAAATAGTTTTTTAATTACAGCCATTTAAAGAGTAGCCGCTCGGCAGTTAGAATAGGATCATTTTATCTTTAAATGCGTTTTTCTCGAAATATCATTTTTCAAATTTGCTGCAGTGATTACTCGGAGACAAATGATCCGATCACTATCAATTTTTTTCTGCATGTTCTGTGAACATAGAGAATTTTTTTTTTGTTTCATCCACGGAGAAGACTGGACAAAAATTTTACTGTGTTTTTTTAAAATATGTATAAATATACCCTTAAAATTTAAAAACAATTGATTAACTTTCTTAAAAATTTCTCATTAAAAAAAAAAATTTTTTTACTTTTTACTTCTTAAAAAATATAAAATTTTTTCACTTTCTTAAAAAAATAGAAAATTCCATATTATTAAAAAATAAAAAATTTAATTTTTTAAAAAAATTTTAACTTTATAAAATATTTTTAATAAAAAAATAAAAAATTTAAACTTACACTCCAGTCTCAGCTTTGCTGAATTTTTCCAAGACTTCATTCCGCTGTTTAGGCATCATCTGGGCAGACAATTCATCAACAGGAATATTTCTATCCTTCAACATCAAACCAAGCAACAACGCAAGTCGATGCGCAGATTTTCCAGAGTTAGTAAAAATCAGCGTCTTCTCGCTCTTTTCCCCCGCAGTCACCAATTTAAGCGCTGCAACCGGTTTGTAAGCAGCCGAGCACTCAAAAGCGCGCTCTGTAAGCTCCACTGGACTGGTGTATTTTCCCAAAAATTCCCCACATTTGTCCAGGTCTATATCCTCGTCATTGTCGTGGTTCTTCAACATAGCAGAGGTGAACAGTATCGGCTGGAATAAATTCAATCTGCTCAATTTTTCTGGGTCCTGGGACAGAGTTGCGCTGAACAGTAACTTTTGCGCTGGTGGTATCGAGCTGGAAATTTAAATTGAGAGGATTGTTAATTATAGACTAACAGATAATTGAAATTGTAATTAGTTATTGATTATCTATTTACTAGGATTGTAAATTTTTAATTGTTAAAGAGGGAATATTGTAATGAGGATGTGGAATGTATTTTAGCCAATCTGTTGAACGATCAGCTTCATCAATTATCAAAAATTCCAGGTATTTTAATGTAAATCCTTGAGTTTTTTCTATGTGATCTACCAAGCGGCCGGGGGTTGATATTACGATATCTACTTTGCTTATTAAATCACCATTTTGTGCTGAAAAAAAAAAAATTAATACATTTATTAAATATTTATTGAGTTTCACTTTTTTTTTTTTTTTTATAAAAAATCCAAAAATTAATATTTTTTAACATATATCATTTTTTAAACCGAATTTACATTATTTATATTATTAAGAAAATAAGCGAAGTTTGTGGCAAGTGTATTTATATAATAAAATAGATCTCTATGATTAAATTTGATATCGTTGGAAAAGTCTTGACCTGGAGTTGTATTTTTATAGTTTCATATCATTTTCATAAATAGTCAATTTATTATAATAAGTATTTAGGCTACATTTGAAAAGGCTCTGTCTCTAGATACATAATTAAGAAATGACCTTGTACCTCGTGAACTATTGACATTTTTAAAGATATAAGCTCATCCCGATGTTACACTCATCAAGACCTTTCATTTGAGTACCCACATTAATTTTTCATATATTTCATATATTTATATATATATATGTATATCTGAAAAATATATCAAAAATGCATATGGGTACTCAAATGAAAGCTCTTGATAAGTGTAACATCGGGATGAGCTTATATCTTTAAAAAGGTCAATAGTTAAGAAATTACAGTGCAATTTAACAAAAGTAATTGTTTAATTTAAGAAATGACCTTGTATCTTTTGAACTATTGAGATTTTTAAAGATATAAGGTCATCTCGATGTTACACTCATCGAGACCTTTCATTTGAGTACCCACATTAATTTTTCATATATTTCACCTATGTTATATATATATGTATACATGATAAATATATAAAATATGCATGTTTTTAAATAAGTTTTTATAAAACGTCATTAGTCTCATGAATTCCGAAAAATTTGAAAGTCTCCAACTCTTCAACAATTAATTATATCAAAATTTTTAATGAGACGTGTTTTATTGTTTGTTAAATTCTCTACAAATTACCTCTCCTTAAATTTTCCATAAAAGTGCATATTTACAAAGTTACAGCAATTTAGAACGACAAATATACTATCCAATTTTTTCTCTCATAAATAATTCACTTTTATTAATGTTAAAAAAAAATTCTATATTAAAATATTGTGCCCCATGAAAATAAACTACTATTCATTAGTCTAGTTAATTAATCAAAGAAATTAATTTGTTGAAAAAACTACTTACTTTTTTTAACAAGCTTCAACTGCTCAATTTCCATGGGTGCTGCACCAGTAATCAACGCAACCTTTAAATTCGTATTTTTGCAGTACGTTAACATAACTCTGTTGACTTGAGCCGCTAATTCTTGAACTGGAAGAACAATCAGACATCTCACCTGGCGAATCAGATTATTTTTCAGCTGCTGAATTACTGGCAAGACATACGCCAAAGTTTTTCCTGAAAACCCCAAAATCAATTATAATTTTATAAATTTAAAATTACTTCCTTAAAAAAATATTATACTAAAATCAGCAGATGACATTAAAGTTCGCAATTATATTTAAAAATAAAATTTGCATTTTTAGTTTTTTAAATTTCTGAATGTCAATTTTTATAATTTTTTTTTTTTTTTTGTCATAATTTATTTGTTACAAAAATTATCAACTATTTGCTAAATTAATTTTCATAATTAGCAAACATTTGACAATTGTTGATTTTTTAAATCAATAAAAATTATAAGTAAAAGAATATTTTCTAAAACTTGTACTTGGAATTTTTCAAATTTTCTACATATCAAATTTTTTCTTGTAATTGTTTTTTTCAGTAAAAAAATTATCAAAATTTTTAGATGTCGGCTAATTTAATTTCCATAAAAACATTAAAGTTAGCAGTCACTTTATTATTTTTTAGTTTTTTTTTAACAAATAAATTTGTTCCGAAAAATGATTTTTAAAAAATTGCATTTTAATTTTTTTTAATTTCTACATTTCTAATTTTTTTTGTCATAATTTATTAGTTACAAAAATTCTTAAAATTGTCAAATATCTGCTAAATTAATTTTCATTTTAAAAACTGAAAAAAAAAAAAACCTTACCGCTTCCAGTAGGTGCAGACACACAAGTGTCGCGTGGCCACCAGCCCATGCTTCGATTTTCATTGCACTTGAGCATCCACTTGATCAAGCTCAGCTGGACAGGAAATAACTTTTTAATCCCATTGTCCTTCAACGCTTCAACCAACTGTTCATCCAGCTTCAATAAATCTCTACACTCTTCATCCAATTCCGGACCACTAGTTAAATCAGCTGATATTACCTCTGGATGTGTCAACCACTTGGGCAGCACGCGGGTCACTTTTGTTTTTTTTTTACTATTGTTAACCCCAAGAATCATAAAATCCTGATTATCATCTTCATTTTTTCCACTCTCTTCTTTATTATTATCCTCAGTGACATTATTAGTACCACTAACATCTTTTTCAACTTCACCATCATTTTTCTCACTCACATCATTTTCTCCATCAGCAATTATTTTTTTCGACTTTTTCTTGCGTTTCTTCTTCGGCTTTTCTTCTTCAATTTTATCACTCTCATTTTTATCAATCCGCTGTTTTTTACGCTCCTCTATTTTTTTTAATAATTCTGATAAGTGGTCATACCCGTCTGATGTTTCTAATTCTTCATCATACCTGTCAAAAAATAAATAGTTATTATTATTTTTTTTAATATATTTAATAAAATTTGTTAATTAAAAATTACTTACCGCTTAATTTCAAACAAAGACATTTTTTGTTTATTTTATGTAAAAAAAATATTTAAGTAAATTTAATGCTTAGGTTATAAACAAACCCACGTTTTTCACTCTCATACATATGATACATATAACCTTAATTCTCGTGTAGATAATTCTGGACTCTGCGCAGCCGACTAAGGATAATAAAAAAAAGCGCTAAATTTGAATTATAACTTTGAAATATAATACTAAAGTTTGCCGAAAATTTTAATATTTTAATTTTTTAATTTATTAAATTAACAAAAATATTTTTTAAAAATTGTTAGGGATGCACGATTCCAAAAAAAAAATCGGAATTTCTAACAAATTTACTCGCGAAGTCCGTCCAATAAAACCGGCTGGCCATTTTGTCGAACTCCAAATCGTCCATTTTGTTTTTAATTTTATCAATCACATTTGTATAACAGTATTTTTATAATTAATATCTTTGTTAGCTGCATAAAATTGTAATAAAATAAACGAACTATCGCACAAATTAATTATTTCTTCTTTGTCAATCATATCAGCTGTCCAATTTTCAAGCCCGAATTTTTCGTTTAGATATTTAGATCAAGCTTCGAAGAGTTCATGATTAAATTATTTACCGCATCTGTTGCAGTAGGTTTTTTAAATTTAAAAACACTTAATATATTATTTAATATTGCCTCCCGACGAGTTTTTAAAATACTTTCTGAATCTTCTTCACCTACACCTACATTTTCTTCATTTATTTTAACTAATCCTTCAGTAGATTCTAAACTTCTTTCTGCAAGATGATCTTCATTCAACACTTCAGAATTATTTGTCGACGGACTTTGAAAATTATTTGTTGACGGACTTGGAGAATTATTTGGTAACGAACTTGGAGAATTTTTACTAAAATACCAATAAGACAATGCGCAAATAATTTGTAAAAACATTAAAAATATCGCAACCCAAATAACTAGCAATTTTTTTGAATATGAATTCATAATTTCTTTTCAAATTAATAATAATAATAATAATAATAATAATGTCTCCTTATTGTTACTAATATAACTGATAAAAAAAAAAAAAAAAAAAAAAAAAAAAAA